CCAGAGAAGGCAAACGTTATTTTGATTCCATTGGTGTTTCAATGTTCGCCGGGTGTTCACATGTTCGAACCTCCGACGCTCCGAGACGGCAAGAGCGGCCGCCAAGACTGCCCCGAACAGGCCCAATAGGCTCCCAAGCGGACTCCAGAACGGCCTTAGAGAGCTCCAAGACAGCCCGAAGGGCGCCGACGACGGCCCAGGAGGTCCCCAAGAGGGCACCAAGCAGAGCCCCAAGATGGGGAACACGAAAAGCCTATTCGAGCCTTCCGCCCAAAAAAGCCCCCAGAGGCCCCAAGAGGTCCAACAGAGGCCCCAACACGGCACACGAGGGGCCCCAAAAGAGGCCCCCCGACTGGCCAAATGAGGTTCATGAAGGCTCCTCAAGAAAAGAAGGCGAAACGTGTCACATCTGAAGGCGTTCCACGTCCTCCTCCTCCTCCTCCTCATCCTCGTTCTCCTTAGGTCCGGCAATAGCGACTACAAGCGGTCCACCACCATATCGCGCGAAGAAACTGAAACTCAACTAAAAACAGCAACAACAACTCAAAGGCAACAATTGCGAAAACCTGGGGACCTCCAAGTAGGTTCCAAAAATCTCCAAGCCCAAACCTGCGAAAATCGAAACCACCCAAACAACTGCAACACATCTCTAAGCCGACACCTGGGAAATCTCAAAAACTGACAGCAACTACAAAAAAATGAAAACAAGACCAAGGAACATGTCGAAGCCTAAGAAACTTACGACAAAAAACTAAAACATCGCCTGGCAAGAAAACTCAAACCAAACAAAAACCTGGCACCGAAACTCTAAAACAACAAAAAAACTATGAGAAGTCTAAAATCGTTCTAAACGCTTCAAAACGTGGGAAAACTGCTTAAAACTTTGAACAGCTCTAAACGCCTGAAACTCGATGCTTATATGAAGTGCCCTAACAAAATCTACACAAATCTCGGGTCACCCGACAAACTCTGCCAAAGACTCTAGAACAACCCAAAACTCTAAATGCCAACCCCGGCGGTCCCTGAAACAAGCAATCACAATACCGAAAGCAATCCAGACAGCTTGTGAATATTGCAAGCGCGCATATGTGCTTCTTGCTATTTCTCTGTTTCCGGTGTTTCTGGGATTTCGCTTTCCAGAATTTGGGTGCGAGGGATGTTTACAGGTGTTGGCAGAAGGTTGTTTAGAAGTTGTCCTTGGGATTTGGAATTTGCCCAGGTTTTGGTTTAGAGATTGATTGATGTTGTTTCGGGGTTTGATTTTGCAGCCGAAGCTGTTCCTAAGATGTTGGCAGGTTTTCTTGGTGGACCTCCTGTAATTTGATTGCCGAACATAACGCTATCCTCCTCCGCTTCTCCGCCTCCATCTCATCATCGTCACCATCGCCATCGTCATCAACATCATCACTCGCCCCAGTGGGAACAATACTACACAACAAGATGTGTCACGATGCCATGTTTTTGCACGCGGCGCGCCACAGACTCCAGGGCCCTAAGCGGCGATGGAAACAATGCGCATACCAGCATGGAGTCAACAGCAGGGGAGGAGAGGAGCGCAAGACCAAGAGGAAGGAACACAAGAGGATTGCAACGCTACTCCACACACGCCCCAAACTTTTGTTGGCCTTGTGGTCCGTGACCTGTGTACATGTGGAACGATGACGACGCCCGCCAAGCTGAACTTCGCGGTTCGCAAGCCGCCACTGATACAGACAACCGCCCCTTGCAAGGTATAACATGGAACGTGAGTATACCAAGGGCAGGTGAGGATGTTTGCACGCCACTTCTGCGGAGTTCGTGAACTGGGCATGGCTGCAGGCGCTGAGCACAGTAGTCTACGCGCCGCTGCTCTGAGCAGGGTCCGAACGCGTCGTGCATTGACTGTTGCGCGTCTTGGGGTCGAGCCAGCGCTTTCCTAGGGTGGCAGATTCCTTTGCGATGCACAGCCGGCCAGTTCGCATCAATGTCTACATTGCCGTCGCGTTTTGCCATGGCGTCGGCGCGCATGCCTGAATGGTCGACCCGTCGGACAGCCCCGTTCTGAGCGTCCAGCAACGAACGCATGATCTGCATCTCGACCGCCGTCCGGCGGTCGGCCGTGCACCCAGCGCTCTATGTGTGTAGGTGATCGCGCAACGATTTGGCATCTCAGATGCTGGACGCTTGCTGTAGGCTCTGGTTTGGGTCTGCTGTCCGGCCACCTACCAGCAGACCTCTGCGACGCGCGCGCGACGCCTAATTGACGACGTCGAACGACAGCTCTGCAACATCTTTGAACAAACTACAGAACCATTCGACTTCTGCTAGGGCTTCCGACATAGCTTGCGTTTTTGCCGCAAGAGTACTGGGTGAAATTCGCGGCAGGCTGGAACTTGCATAACGCCAAAGCAACGGGAAATGCGTTGTACCCCTGCAGCGCTGGGGTCGTAGCAACGACTGAGAAAGCTTCCTGGCTCTTGTCGCTGGCGGCGCTGGCACAAGAAGCGTCCTGGATAGTGACCCATCGTAGCATGTGCGGTGGCATGCGTGGAATCAGACTGCCGAGCTTGGGCTCCATTTAAGGTAGTCGCACAATCGTTCGCAACGCACATATCTGGAACCGCACTCGAGCGGATCCACCCCAGACCAAAGGAAGCGAGCCCAGATGCATCTGGACGCGTCTCTCTCTGAACCAAATTTCCACCCAGACCCGCGCAGCCCGTAGCTGAGACTGCTCGCTGTCAGTCGTAGGGTCGGGTTTGCCACCTACGCCCCTTGGGAATGGTGATGGGGGAAGAGCGTTATGTGGCGAATTCTGCCTGGTGGATGTGACCGTAGTCTCTGTGCTGTTGTATGATGCGCCCAGCATAAGCACCTTCGCAACAAAGGATAATCTTCCTCTTGCCAAACCGAGGCCGTTGTTGTAAGCATTGCATTTTCTCGTCGCGGGCGCGGTTGCCGTGAGCAGCAAGGACATCAACTTCGATAAGCAAACGCCCATCTGGGACGGTGGGGATCATCGAACAGAAAACACACGGATCGCAACGTGACCGACGACACCCAGGATCTTCGATTGCACGCGCCAAGGTCTGGCGTCAGGCGGCCGGAGCATTGGCGAGTCCATGCGCGGCAGCGTTGAGCTGGATCGGAGACCTGGCCCCGACCCAGGTCCCGCCCTCAAGAGGCACCCCCCCAGGTCGAAGAGAGGCATGCAACTTACCGCGCCGTCTGCCGCCGTGGTCCCCATCGTTATGCATGGGGGCCGTTATCAGAATACCAGCTGTTACTTCACGCTATGAAGACGCTGCTACAAGTAAGAAGACGCACGTACTAGATGTCTGAGCTGTCGGACTCGCTCTCGCTAGAGCCACGATGTCGGGGCCATTGCGCCCCAACGCGCACCGCCGGCATTTCGCGAGCGGGGGGGGGGGCCTCACACCTTCGCTGGGCTTGTCTGACTGGGCGCAACGAGATGGAAAGATACTACCCAGGTGGTGCTTGAAAATATCCTGAGCAACCCGCGGAAATATCGCGGTCGCTGGGCTGGCGGATGACCCTCCGGAGGCGGAGGGTCGCGGGCATCAGCGAGAGCCGTCCTGGCGGTCGGTGTAGACCGCCCGTCGGCAGATGCTGGGCCACGCGCTTCGAATTCTGGCTCTGGCGGGGTGGACGCAGCAGGCGCCCGTGAGAAAACAGCACCATCGGGTTGGAGAGCATCCCAGAGACTGTTGACCTCGCCCTGACTGGTCTCTGGCTCCATCTGCGGCTGGGCAGTTGGCGGCGGTGCTGGAGGCGGCGGCACCTGTGGCGGCATGCTTTCGTCATCGTCGTCTCCTGGGAGATCCGCGGCAGGCGCTGGCACGTTCGCATCGGCAGGTGGGCCTCCTGCGCGCCCTACATCGACGTGTGTCCCACGGCCCGGGAACTCTCGTAGGTCCGCGCGCGCGTCGACGAGCGACATGATTGGAGTCTCCAAGCCACGGGACTCCTCAATAGTAGCCAATTTGCCCTGAACCTGGCCGTGCTTTCACAAAGCCACGCGCATTTTGATCCACGGGCTACCTCTACGACTGCCGATGCACACTCCTGGACCGACCTACTTGCCATGCCTGGATGGCGGACGCGCCCTCCACACCGTCGCAACCTCATTTGCTCGGAGAGGGGCATGGACACAGGGCCGTGAGCGGACAGCCTACTCGATGCGACCTCATGGAGGCCTCCGCGCGCGCTATCGCGGCAGCCCCCTGGGCGCGCCTGGGCCCCTCGAAGCTGGGGCCCGACGCTGGGAGGTCATAGATGGCATCTGGGGCGTCTATGTCATCGCTGGCGAAGTCAGCAGGAAGGCGATGCCCTATGCCGAATGCCCGCTGCAACCTCGAGCCCCCCAGTTGCTCAGCCTATTCTTGGCAGCGCTGCACTCGGAGGTCAAGCGACGAAAAGATACATGATCGATCGGAGAATGCATCCAAACAGCCTTGTGCACAATCTTCTTGGAGGTGCCCCCGCGACGTTCCGCGCTGCCGTTTTGCCGCGGCGCCCGGGCGTCAGTCAGATGCAGGGAGATGAGGTTCTGCGTGCAGAAACCCTTGGAAGCCTGACCGGAGAATTCCTCGCCTTGGTCTGCTATGACAACAAGCGGCGGGCCGAAATGTCGCACCCAATGGCCCGCTGCGAAAGCAGCAACAAACTCGGCTGGTCAACCTTCTACTGCGACGCACAACTGGTTGAGCGTACCCCAACAGACCACGTCGCAGGCAATCATCTTGGAGCCGTCTGGGCAGTCCAACTCTAGGAAATCGACGCCGACAGTCACATTGTACCGGAACGTACGTGGCAACGACGCAGGTGGTCGAGGTTTGGGCATTCGGCCCGCAAAGTCACGCGCAGGAATGGAAGTGTTATCGCGCGCATTCGGGCACGTGGCGTTTTGCGCGGCGCAGCCGGAGAGCACGCGCAAATCCCTCCCTACTTGGATGGCCGCATCTGTGGTGGATCTGCTGGATGGTGCGTTCCTACGTCCAAGATTGTGTTGCAGTTTCGTCGAATTGCTCGTCTGCCTGCTGGTCGTCAGTCTGGCGGGCGTCAGCTGAGGATGGGTCTTCTTGGGCAGACGCGTCTTCCGCCGATGGAAAGACCAACCCAGGCGCTGAGCTCAGCACTCCAGGCTGGTTCCGCGGAAGGCGTGCGCCCCCGGCCAGATTGGCAGGCAGGTGCGCGCGATCTCCCCGCGGCAGAGGGGCCTCGCCACCCTCGTGCCACTCTCCGCGAACAATGAACTCGCAGGACAAAGACGGGTCAAACATGGCGAAGTGTCTGAACTATTATCCGCAACAATGACGTCGGTGGCCACTTCTGTCAATGCGAATACCATTACTTCGCATCGTGCGACTTCAGCCAAATCTCCAAACAACGACTCCGAAATACCGGGCGGACGTAGCAGAGGCAATCCGTCGGGAACTTCGTAAACAGCACGCGCTCGGTCGGGGGGCCACGACGCGAAACTTGCTATGTAAGTAGCCAGCGCTGGCACATTATTCCCCCCTTTCAATCTCGCACAGCCGAGCGCGCATAGAGGGCGCGACAGACGCAGGAGGGAAGATGGGAAGCAGCGGAGATGAAGATGACGATAGTGAGGCAGATGGGATAGCGGGTGGAACAGAAGCGTTGCATCTTACATGTCGCGGCCGCTGGACCTGCGGTCTGGCACTAGCAGCACCCAGCCAGGCGGCAATGTCGGCGCAGGCGCGGCGGAGTCGGTCGCTGTCGCAGGCGACGGCAAAGTCCCAGTGGACGCGTTGTTGGCACTGGAGTTGTTGCCGCAGGTGCCGGGCGAATGGCTGGACTTGCCCCCGCTGCTTCTGGAAGCCCCCCGGCGCCAGCGTCGATCCGGGGCCTGACTGCCTTCAGTCAAACGCGACCCCTAGATGTCCAGAGCCGCCCCCCGAGGCACCGCCGACAGGGGCGCGGGGGCGAGGTCCAGCCGATCCGTTCCCAGAGCCAGGCGCTGAGCTCGGCATTCCGTCTCAGGTTTCCTGTCGCCCGCCCTTCAGATCCCCCCCAGGACAAGCTTTTCTGAACATGCAGACCCGGTCTGCTGCGTTCCAGCCGTCGCACCAAAGGATTGCCTTGATTTGCGCGTCGAACCTGTGAAAGCCGCTCTGGGGGCGCGCGCCAGGATGGCCCCGCGGCCCCCCCTCTCGGCGTCGCAGATCAGCTGCTGCGCGCGCGGATTCGACTGCGATCGCTGCACTTCGATCGCACGGCGGCACTCTTGCCCCAGCAGTCGCAACGAGGCTGAACGCGACAGCGAAAACACGGCCTGCCACCCCGCGTCCGCGAGGACGACGAAGCCGCGTAGAGCGACCCGCCTCCGCCTTTTCAGGCGCAGGTTGAATTGTTTTGGCGGCGCTGGCGCCTCCTCCTCCCGCGGCTCGGCCCGGCGGCGCAAGCCTGGCCGCATGCGCCGCGGGCTGGGCGCGGGAGAAATCGCGCGATGACGGCCTGGCGCGCGCTTAGGCCGAAGGCTGCGTCGAACCGCCAGGGCCCTGGACCTTCACCCTGGAGAGGAGGCACCCGAGCGCGGCAAGGCCCGAAGGGCGGGCAGAGGTAGACGTCGTCGCGGGGGGGGCGGGGGGGCCCAGGAAAACGAGCGGGAGGAATAGTCGCGGGGCGCGACGACACGGAAGTCGCTGTCTCCCACCCGTCCGCAGCAAACTCCGCCAGGCCGCGCGACGCGCGGCCTCTGGGCAGCCGCTTCAGGGCGGTGCTCCTGTTCAGGCGGCGCAGCCCCGCGGTGGAGTCTGGCAGGTTCACCGCGGCGCCCAGCGCGCGCGGAAGGTTGACCGAAGTGAACGGCGGAACAGTAGGGTCGTCGATGATCGCCCACTCGACGAGGCCGCCCATGCCGCCAATGCCACGCGGCACGCGCACGCGGTCGAGACGACCTCCGAAGCCGACGGCTGCGCCAACCTTGGAGCTCGCAACGGCCCTCAACCCGCGTTCGTTGCACAGCGACCTCTCGCGTTCACGGAGCGCCTCGATGCCGCGAGCGCCGTTCTGGGCAGCCTCGCAGCCGCTCTCGCCTGGCGCCGCCTCGAAGTCACTCCGCGGCCCCTTGCCGCGTGCCCAGGCAACTGGCGCCGTCCGCAGAAGCTCGCCAACGTTGCTGACCTCGACAGGCGCCGCCGCGGCGCCTCTCGCAGCAGCGGGCGCGCGATCGACGTTGACGTCGCGGCTGCGCGGGCGCATCGGCGCAGCGCGCCTTCCCTTCGCTGGCCCACTTGCAGAGCGCCGCGGCCTTCCTGTCCTCCCGCTGGCGGTGGTGTTCTCCGGCCTTCGCCTGCGAGGTCAAGACCTCCTCAGGCGCGCCCCGCCCCCGCCGCGGCCCCGCGCGAGCCAGCCTGCGCGGGTTCGCGCCGCCAGCTGTCTGCCATGAAGTCCTTCTCTACGCGGTTCATCTTGCGGCGCTGCAGCTCGTCCGCGGCGTCGTCGTGGACCGAGGAATGGGCGACCTCGACCTATTCGCCGTAGCTGTCCTGCACGACCTCGGAGGTTGCGAACTCCTCCTCGACGTGACCCTTGAGGCCGCCCCTCAGGACGCAGTCGCCCCCCCGCAGCGCCGAGTCGCGCTCCGCGCGCCACTTGCGTTCCAAGTCCAGCCAGCCTTTCCGCAGCTCTGCCCGCTGCTCCGGCGCGCCGCTTCGCCTCGGCACGCTTTCGCCTGCGTAGCTTCAAATGCGCAGTGCGCGTCTGCGTGCCCTCCTCGAGGTCGCGGCCCATCCGGTCGCCCCAGCCATCGAACGGTGGTTCGCCGCCCCCGGTCGCGGGGGCCCGGTTCTGTTCTCGCAGAACCCCAAATTTCTCAAGGTCGGCTGCGAGCTGTTCCTGGCCCCCCCGGCGCTTCTTCAAAAAGTCCGTCGCGCGCCGGATGTCGCCCGCGATGCCGCCCACAGCGGCGCGCATGACCATCCTCTGGAAGGCTGCGCAGCCAGTCTCGGCAGCGCGGCACCGCTTGCGAGCCGCTTGGTTTGTCTTCTGCGTCCAGGCCAGGCGCCGCGGGCACCTCCTCTGGCGGCTGCTCGTCTACCAGCTCGAACCCGCCGTCGCTATCCTACCCGCCCCAGTCGGGGGCCTCGTGCTCGGGTGACCGCGCGCCGAGCTCAGCTCTGCGGCGCTCTTCGTGGCCCACTTGTTGCGACGAGGAGGTCCGTGCACCGCCGCCCCGGCCCCTGCCTCCACCATCTGCGACTGCTCCTCGTTCGGGCACCGGTGAGACCAAAGCCCCAGCCAGAGGCGCGTTTTGCAGCGCGCGGGAGGGTCGAGAACAGAGACTGGCTTCTGTCGGGCGCCCTGCGGCGGACGCGTGGCGGGGCGCGGGCGCGGAGGCGCTGGCGCCCTGTTGTTCTTGCCGCGGCCCTTGGACGGCCGCCCTGGGCCCTGCCGCGACCCGCTCTGCGAGCTTCGGAGTCTGCTGCAGATTCTGGCGAATCTGGCGGTCGCCCCTGGGTCTGCCCCTCTGGAAGGCCCCGCTGGCCCGCCGAAGCTGTGGCCACGCCCGCAGCACATCGTCCTCGTCGCATTCGCCCTGCAGGTCGTTGTCGTCCAAGGCAATGAGCTCGCCGCCATCGCTGTCGTAGTCCACGAAATCTTCGTCGCCCTCCTGCTCCTCCTCGGAACCGCACTGCTCGTCCACAGATTAGAAAAACTCCCGCCTGCGAAGCCGTCGGCCTGCGGGAAAGCATCCGGATTGCAGTCGGGATGTCTGTGAACTTCCGAAACCTGCCAGTCTTGGACATGATGTGGTCCTCTAAGTGCTTGGGGCATCGGCACGTTTGGATAAGATCACGCACTTCCAGCGGGCTGGCTTTGGGCCGCCGTGGGAATCCGCCATGAGAAACAGACCGGGCGATGTTCGCAAACTGCACCAGATTCTGGCTGCGCTCCCTGTGAAGATCGTAGACGGCCGTGCCAAAACCGCCGTGATCTTCGAACTCCGAAATGTGCCTGTGAGCCTGCCCCAACATGTTCCGGATTGTCTTTCCGGCCCCTGGGTCCTGCGGCTCCTCGTTTGTCGGGTGGTTGATCATCAAATCAGCATCACCGGACAGCGCGCTCCAAGAGAAAATCCAATGCTTCGTCGCTGGGATGTCCGCGTTCTGCAACCACTGGTCCAAAAAACGGCGATGCGTTCTCCAAGTCTGCTCTGGGCGCAGCCCGTCCCCAGCCGGACGCGGCTCCTTGCCCACGTAGCGACTCTGGGGGTCTGCTCGGTGGTGGGTGGCATGGCGCGGGGGCGTTTCCAGGGCGGCTGGCAAGATCCGCGTCTCCAGGGCGTCTGCGAAGATCCACTCGTCTCCTCGCCGCTCCCAGCAACCGTACTGCCAGACCCATTGATTTGTGTACGCCTCCTCGGGATTGGGGCCTCTGCCACCGCCGACGAATCTGCTAACGAATCTCATCTGACAGGCCATCGCGCGCTCCAGGGGATTCACTTTGAGACAAGCCGTGGACTTGTCAATTCACGCTCCAGATACCAACAGAAGAAACAGTACTACACTTCAAGATGTGTCACGATGCCATGTTTCTGCAAGCGGCGTGCCACATACGCAAGGGCCCTAAACGGCGAAGGAAACAACGTGAATGCCAGCATGGAGGCAACAGTAGGGGAGGAGAGGAGCACAAGCCCAACAGGAAGAAAGACAAGAGGATTGCAATGCTACCCCACAGGCTCAACATCCTTATCACAGTTATCGTCCTCACCCCCATGTTCAAAACCACCATCATCATAATAAGCCTCATCATTTCAGCAGCATCATCACCATCATCATCAGCCTCATCATCCTCATCAGCATCAGCATCCTCATCATCATAATCAGCATCAGTTTTATCATCAGCATCACCATCAGCAACACCATCATCGCATCATCACCATCATCCGCATCATCACCATCGGGGACAACCGATCAAGCTGGGCTGTCACTGTGGCGGTACTTGCCGATGGCAAGTGGATAGCATTAACGATGCTCAGGAGCGCAATGGGACCGACCAGGAGGTATACCACAAAGTAGACAATGAGCCAAGGTTTCATCGTTATGATTGGCTTGTATATGATGGCACAGCTGTCAAACATCATGAACTGCATCAAAGTCATCATGGCCCCCCCCAAGGTATCATAGTTGCGCGCAGCGATGCTATAGCCATCTTCCTCATCCGAGACAACGATAATTTCCATAGCAATGACAGCAAACACGTATATTACAACTGTCATCAGGATGGCCGTCCAGATCATCGGCATGACTGCGTACATCACCCCCTGGACGAGCATCCACAAAGTGCGGAACTGGGGGAACACCCGAACGGTCTTCGCGAGGCGGAAAAGCCGAATCATCTTTATCATGTTGATGTTGTCCGCCAGACCAGCTGCCGTGTCGCCACCCAAGAACGTCACCGTGAGCAGGAAGTTCAGAATACCTGCGGCCACCATCACAGCGTCGAACCTCACCCAGTTGTTCGAGAACGCCTCCAGTCCACCGACGTAGACTCTCATAGACAGCTCGACGATATAGAGGAGAAGAAACGTGTACTCGAGGATGTGAAGGGACGCTGGGAGCTGACCCCCATGTCGTGAAATGGCAGTTTCCGAGCCTATCGCCAGGGCGTTCAACATAATGACGAAACCCATGCCGAAATCGAATCGCTGGCTTGCGACAATATTGAAACAAAGCTTCTTGCACCTGCTGGCATCGTCCGGGGCTGGTTCGACAATGAACGTAAAATCTCTCACGATCGCCTTTGCAGCCTCCTCCCGCTTGATTTGTTCGGCCCTGAGACGAACTATTTCCTTCTGGTCCTCTTTGGTCAGAACTACTTTGCTAGTCCTCATATCTTCTGGTAGCTTGTCCATGGTCTCCTCCCACAGCCCCGTCACGGTTGTTCGCTCACCCCTTCCGTTGCCATTGCTTTTGCTCCACAAGGTCTCTCTCCAGGCTCTCGTCGATACCTTTCCAGACGACCGCTCCCCATCCGAGCATTCCGGAGTCAACCAGATGGGCTCGACGTTGTCAACGTTACCTATGGAGGAATCGGCACTCGCAGGATTCAGCTTACTGGTTCTAACCTTCTGATCCTCGCTGAAATGAACCACTGGCGTACTACTCGCAGTCTTCAGCTGACTGGGCTTTCCTTTCTGATCCTCGCTGAACTGATCCTCTGGCGTATTCAAAGCAGGTACCGTGACCATGGGATCGTCGACGGGATCGACGCTGGCCCTCACGGCCCCCTCCGAGGTCGCCGTCTTCAAGGCCCTGCCGAGCTCCTTCCGGTACTCTGCCTTGAGCTGGCTGACCATGCCGCGCAGCGCCGACTCCACGACACCTGCGGGCAAGACTTATATCCATATCCAGTGCGTCTTGAACGTTTTTTGGGAGAAGCGCCTCAAGGCCGAGGCGCACTGGATATCGATAAAAACCTAGCCTCTACGGTGGGCACACTTATCCATATATATATATATATATACAGTATGCCTCGGGTTTCTGGGGAAGGTAGCCCGAAACTCCCTACTGCAGTGGATGTGGGCAGAAGCGTTGCCCGCGACACCGTCGAGGAAGTCCCCCTGCATGAGGCCCGTGCCCTCCGAGAAGGCCGCCATCGCGCACGCGGCCCCCCCGTGCCGCCGAGCGCCGAGGCACGCGCGTGCAGCGCCTTGGGCGCGGCACGCGGGGCCGGCGCGCGGCGGGCGGGCGCGCGCGGCAGCCCCCGTCAGGGCCGGAGGCAGGGTGGCAAGTGCCGGGTCGGGCGAAAGGGGGGGATCGAGTCCGAGGCCTCTTCTTCCCGTCAGCTCAACCTCGATTTCCGATGGAGAACCGCAGGGCAACCCGAGGCAAACTTTGAAACAATCAAGGAACACCGAGCCCCTCCCCAACGAAGAGGGTTCCTTCTTCAGCGCCCCGACTGTAGCAAAGGGGGGGGGTGAGCATCAGCTCACGTGGCTGCTTCTCCCGGCTTTTCCCGGCGCCGGAGGCGGCCAAGTATCGAGGGAGGGGCCCCTCGGTGAGGCCGAAACCAGCTGCACGCAGCAGATTTCGTAAGCCCCCCCTTTCCCTATATCCCCCCCCCTCCGTCCGGCCCGAGAGTGGGACGAAGGAGCTCGCCCAGACGACCGAGCCTGGAGCCAACATGCCGAGAGCCGGGTTGGAGCACGATGCACCAGCGGTGCAATGCTGCCGCGCGCCGCCCGTCCCGGGCCCCAGGTAGGAGAAGGAGGGGGGAAGGAGGGAGGAAGACGGAGGAGAGGGGAGGAAAACAACAAAACACAACAAAAGGGGAAGCGAGAAAAACGCGAGAAACGGAAAGCGCCGAACGCGCGTTGCCAAACAAATCCGACTGCCTTCCACGCAGCGCAGAGAACCGGAAGGGGGATCCCAGTCAGATGTCCCCACAAGTGCATCCATGATCGATCACAGCTGGGAACGCCCCCCTGAAGACGAGCGGGCTGTGGGGGCACCTGACAAGCAGGAGCCCCGCTTGGAACATCAAGGTCGATGCCCATGGAACTATTAGGCATGTGGCTAGTACGCAGGAGCAAACGACTCAAATCCGCCGACCCATCGGCGTGTGTGGGACGCTGTCATCGTCGTCGTCGTCGTCGTCGCCAGTCCCACAGAAAATTGAGGAACGAGCTGAGGCAAGAAACGTCGTAGCTAAATCGACTCCTTTCCCTTTATCGCTCCCCTAACCAGTCAGCTCAGATTACAGCCACCCACGGGGGGATCAAGGCGGGCCCGAGGGTCTGGCCCCACCTGTGGGCAGGGGGGACGGGGGGGGCGCCCCCCCTTGTGGGGGAGGGGGCAGCCCTGGTCCCGGCTCTGGCCCCGGCCCCGGCCAACCACGGCCCTGCACACGTGGCGCCACGCCGTAGCCGTAGCCCCGGCCCCAGCCGTGGCCCCGGCCTCCAGGGTCCCGGGGGGGAACTCCCGCCTTCGGGGTCGGCGGCACGGGCCGTACGAGCGATGCCCCTTGTTCGCGGCCCCAACGGGCGCTATGAGGGGCGAGGGGGGGGGCGGGAGGGGGCATGACGCAGCGCTCCCCCTCAGACGGTACGTGGTGCGGGACGGACAGCGGCAATGCCAGGGACGCACTGAGGGGGGAAGCGTTACATCATGGCGGGGGAGACGGGGGGAGGTAGGGGGCACAACGCGCGTCATGGGCCAGAGAGAATCGACAAAAACTCCTCTAAGGCACTCCGAGTAAAGAGTCCAGCGAGAGCCACATTTTGACGAGAAGCCGCTTGCAATCCGCGCAAGATGCGCCACATGCCCAAAGCCATGCCTGCACGAAGGGGGTCCTACTGGGTTTCAAACTGATCTGGGACGCACATAGACACTCTGATACGATGTGTTTTCCTCAACGGCGCGCGTCCGACCCGAACATATCGTACACCCATCTTGTAATATACAAATATATACATGTATCGTTTCCCGAGCGGTGTGGCCAGAAAAAACGCCCGCCACGACGCATGTACTGTAAGACTTCTCAGTGCGCGCGAATCGCCCCTGGGGGGGGCGACGCGCACACAGTATCGGTAATTATGTTGGGGCGACGCCGATAACTGGGGTGACACTTGTGGGTTTCGCGCAGGTGGGCGCCCGCCGCCGCCTCGTCGGCACCTCGTGCGCTGCATGGCACCCCTGGCCCTCGCGCCGTGGTCGCCCGTCGCTGCCCTGGCTCTCGCGCAAATGGACGCTCGCGCGCTGGCAGTCTCCGCCTGGACTTGTTTTTTGCGCAGCAGACGCCCGTCGCCGCCTCGTGCGCTGGCTGGCCTTCTCCGGGGCTCTCCCGCCAAAGGCGCCGGTGACCGCCCCATCGCCGCCCCTGTTCGCTGGCCAGGTTCTCGTTCCGCTCGCGCCTCGTCGCCGCCGCGTGCGCGGGCTGGCCTTCTCTGGGGCCTTCCCGCCAACGGCGCCGGTGACCGCCTCGTCGCCGCCCCTGTTCGCTGGCCAGGTCTTCGCTCCACTTGCGCCTCGTCGCCGCCTCGTCGCCGCCTCGTGCGCGGGCTGGCCTTCTGCGGGGCCTTCCCGCCAAAGGCGCCGGTGACCGCCTCGTCGCCGCCCCTGTTCGCTGGCCAGGTCCTCGCTCCGCTGCGCCTCGTCGCCGCCTCGTCGCCGCCGCGTGCGCGGACTGGCCTTCTCCGGGGCCTTCCCGCCAAAGGCGCCAGTGACCGCCTCGTCGCCGCCCCTGTTCGCTGGCCAGGTCCTCGCTCCGCTGCGCCTCGTCGCCGCCTCGTCGCCGCCTCGTGCGCTGGCTGGCCTTCTCCGGGGCCTTCCCGCCAAAGGCGCCGGTGACCGCCTCGTCGCCGCCCCTGTTCGCTGGCCAGGTCCTCGCTCCGCTGCGCCTCGTCGCCGCCTCGTCGCCGCCGCGTGCGCGGACTGGCCTTCTCCGGGGCCTTCCCGCCAAAGGCGCCGGTGACCGCCTCGTCGCCGCCCCTGTTCGCTGGCCAGGTCCTCGCTCCGCTGCGCCTCGTCGCCGCCTCGTCGCCGCCTCGTGCGCTGGCTGGCCTTCTCCGGGGCCTTCCCGCCAAAGGCGCCGGTGACCGCCTCGTCACCGCCCCGGCTCGCTGGCCAGGTCCTCGTTCCGCTCGCGCCTCGTCGCCGCCTCGTCGCCGCCGCGCGCGCGGGCCGGCGTCTCGAGTGGTCGCGCGGCGGGCGCCCGCCCGTCGCCGCGTCGTCGCCGCCCCTGTGCAGTGGCTGGGCATGGGCTGCGCTACGCAAGTGCCGCCAGGGTGCAAGAAGTCACTCTTCGGGGCCCGCGGTGTCGGACACGTTGTATGCGTCGGGCGGTATAAAATCTCAGGGGGCTCGAGCGAGCGCCCCGGTGTGGAGGATGCGCGCCGAATTCGCTGCGGGCAGTAAAACATGAAGCAGCAGATTGAAGCTGGGGCCTCCCTTTCAGTAAGAAATGCACCACAAGCGCGCTCTTTCATACGTAGATGTCTGTAAACACATATGTATATATATATACATACCCTCGACCTCCACCTTCCACACCAGCCGTTCGGATGGTATGGAAGGTAGTAGAATTGTTAGATGCGCTGTCATAGTTTTGTTGGGTTTTTGTAGGTTTCGACGAGATAATCAAGTTTCTTCAAGTTTCTGTTGTCAGGGCTTAGTTTGCTATTGTAGATGCCGCCTTGTGTGCGAATGTAGGTGCGTCGGCGGTGAGAGTTGTAAGTCAGGTACAATAGATTTACTTGTTTTTGTCTTTTGTACAAACTGAACTTGTTGTTATCCAGGGCCCCTTACGCAAATTACGTTCCACAAGCGTTGGGTCTGCAAGACCCCAATCAGACACGCGTCTGCAAGGTCATTTTGGACGCTGGCGGTAAGCAAGGGTCATGCCTTTGCGCGGTTTCGCAACGTCGCCTCATCTTGCTGCGACGTTGCAACACTGCCAGGCGGCACATTAGCACGCGGCACGTGTGATGTTAAAATGAGTGAAACGGTGGTTGGCGAGTTCGCGACGTCGCGCGTGCACTCTGGCCGCCCGTGACTTTGGACTTTTCATTTACGGCATTTGATTGCTATTTCTTGTCGGCTGTTGCGGTTAGTAGGCGCTCGAAATCAAGTCCAGGATGCCCAGGAGTTGCAACACGCGAGCATATACCATGCGAGCCTCCTCGTCCCCATGTTCTTCCTTGTCGTTTTCCCCCTTCTCCTCCTTCTCCTCCTCATCACTGTTCCTTTCCCATCCTCCCCCTCCTGAATTTTACATCACCCGCGAGGCTCTTCGACCTCATTGTTTCGAAACACGTCGGTGTGATTGCGCGTGTACAGTTTGCATTAGCATATGTATCCGCGAGAGCTGTTGATGTAGTAACTCTGACCTCCGTTTCCTTTGGATGCCGCGTTGAATTATACATGGTAATGCCATTATCCTTGCAGCGGAGGTAGGAGGAGAGGGATAAGAAGAGGGAGGGAGGAGGAGGAGGAGGAGGAGGAGGAGGAGGAAGAGGAGGAGGAGGAGGAGGAGGAGGAGGAGGAAGAGGATGAGGGGAGGAGGAGGAGGGGGGGAGGAGGAGGAGGAGGAAAAAAGGAGGATGAGGAGGAGGTTGAGGAGAGGGATAGAGAGAGGGAGAGGGAGAGGGAGAGAGGGGAGAAGGAGGAGGAGGAGGAGGAGGAGGAGGAGGAGGAGGACGAAGAGGAGGAGGAGGAGGAGGAGGAGGAGGAGGAGGAGCAGCAGCAGCAGCAGCAGCAGCAGCAGCAGCAGCAGAAAGCAGCAGCAACAGCAACACTAGCAGTAGAAGTAGCAATAGCGGGAGTAGCGGGAGTAGCAGAGTAGCAAGGCCCGCTCGGGGCTCAGTGCGCTCACCAGGGGGTTACCCATAAAAAGGCAGGTTGGCCTCCAGGGGGGGCCTCCAGGGAGGAGGAGGAGGAGGAGGAGGAGGAGGAGGAGGAGTGGCAAGAGGAGTTCCTCCAGGGAGCCGTTGCCGTCGACAGGGGCAGCATCAATCGAAATGCAAAGTCGCCTCATCCATCCGTGGAGCTGTTGCGTAACTGTCGCGTTGGCGAGTCGAGGTTTAGATGGCATTCCCATCAGCATTTCCTCGGGGAGGCCTTGGGGCGCTTGGGAGCTCTCGGGTGCCTTGGGGGCTCTAGGAGGCTCTTGGGAGCACGGGTGGCCTTGTCATAGGGGGCCTTTGGTGGCACGGGCGGCCCCCACCACATGATTTGCGAGGTTTCTGGAGGCACGTCGCCGCAGCTCCTGGGCGAGGCAATGCGCCAGAGCA